CACCCCACCACCACTTGCGACACTCAAAAACGCCCCAAACTTCGCCACACCGCCTCAAAACCCGCTCGAAAATACCGAAACTGAAACCTCTCATTCCTCACTCCAGTGTTCCCGACCTGCTCACACCACCATCGACGCCTTGCTTCTACGACCTACACACGACCATCCGACTCCTTACATCCCTATCGGTTCCCACCCACCCGAGTCATTTCCTTCACCAATCGAACACAGCCTACCTGCCACTCACCCACATTCTACAACACATGAACCACCACCTGACGAATCACAAGTCGCCGTCCACCTACTTCGGTCCTCGTCGCCTTTCTCTTCCCTCCCTCACCCTCCTCTCACCCTACCCGCACCCTCCTCTGTACCCCCTCTAAAGACGATCAGCATGCGCCGCACCTCCTGGAACGTCACCGCCTGCTTCAGGTTCTCCCTGCATCTGTTGATTGTGAAATCCCTGCACTCCTTGTACATTCTCGGTGTTTTCGCCGCTGATCTCTTGTCGAAAAACTCGCTCATCGCTCGCCTCTCCAATGGGTGAACCTTGTCCCACCGAAACCAACCTGCTCGCACACCACATCGTCAAACGTCACGCACCTCAAAAACCCCCCACAAATACACCGCATCACCCATGCACCACGACTATCCAACAATGCCACATCACGCCTTCCACGAGTGTGCGACTCCATCGCTACACGCTTCCGGCCATCGACGGGACGCGCCAACTTCCACCCACCCAACTGCCATACTGCCATGGATCGTCTCGGCAGCCACAGCACAAATCACTGTAATCCCAACTGTCCGCGAATTCGGCATAAACCCTACGCACCGCACCTCCCACACAAACATCCTCACCTCCTAACCTTCCTCTGCGCCGGTGCTGCCCCCGACCTACAGATACCTACCCCAACCCTCACATGCCCAGCGCTTTCCTGCTGCCAAGAACACCACCGGAAACAGGAAGTCGTCCCCAGTCACACGCACCTGCATAGCTCGGTATCCTGTACACCACCTCGCCGGGCGCCTCAGGTCGGGACGCACCCTCTGCTGTTGCTGCGGGTGCAGCTGACGGATCCACGGAACCTGGGTTGCCCTCGCCACCGATGCTACCAGCGACTCCTTGCGGACCCCTCTCCGCATTACCTCCCAACGTGCCATTGTTCCTATCCTCTCCTTTCCCCGCAGTAATTTGGACCCTGGCGTCGCCCGCGACCCCGGCCGCTCCATTCTTCCCAGCTTTCCTGCTCTTCCTGCTCGGAGTTTCGATTGCAGCGTCCTTCTCCTCCCTCTCCCGCCGCACTTTCGACGACTCCGTTGGCACGCTCGCGGGGTTCACCATGGCTCTGCCACCTCGCCACCACCCTCACACCCTCCCCTCTCCCATACGCACCATCCTCTAACCTGCCAAGGCACCACCCATAGCTCCCGCTCGAACCCCTGGCCACAATTCCGCACCGCCCTCCTGCCCCTCGCCCGAAAGAGACGCGAATGCCACTCACATTCCTGCCATACCACCGCAACACCACTCACCCTCGCCCCTCCATCGAAGCCTCCCAATTCCGCTGCCAGCACCCCGAGCCTCCACTTCAACGTCCCCACCGAGCCCGCGCTCTCCCATCTCCCCTGCCATTAGGGTTCTCCCCTGCACTCTCTTCCCAGCATAACTCGGCGCCACTGGAGTGCGCTCTCGCCCAAACCAGCGAACCTCCCAAGCGCACGATCACCGAGTTGTCGCTCTCCTCTCCACAACTCTCCGTGCCCAATTCTCGACCTCTCAGCCATGCCACAGCCTCGCCTCCGGCAGCAGAGGGCAGAGCCCCGGGGCAGCGGTGGGAAGCAGTGGCGCGGCATTGCAAGTGCTCGATTGCGCGACAAGGCGAGGCGAGAGATGGAGGCAGCGTGGGTGGGGGGGGGAGCTGACGAGTATGGGCTGAGTTGGTTAGAATCATGCGGAGGTGGCGGAAGAGCCATCCAGGCCCAGGGGGGCAGGGAAGACGGCGCTGTGCCCCTTGTAAAGGTCTCGACCCTTACGTCCCACTTCTCTCAGCGGCCCCTAGTCACTTTCCTGCACAGGTTAGTACTAGCTCACTTTCGATTAGCAAGTACACTAAGTCACCTGAGAGCACTCGTGGAGTACTCACTTGACGCGCCCACAAGGCCTAGCACCATTAGCAACTACGCTAGTATGTTGGTGCGGCTTTCCCACAGCCTTATAACCCAGGTGTGCTCTGAGATGTACTTCTGTTAACTCACCGCGTCGCGCCCTGACTTCGTCGTATCGCGACCCTCTTTGCACCCGAACTCCCTGGGTGCGGGACACCCTACCAACTACTAAGTCTCCTTGCCTTAGTAGCACACCCAACCGGGTTCATCTCGTTCTCGCAAGCAAGGCACAGTATCACCTAGTCTTTTGCCTTCTCAGTTCCTTCACATACCCACCAGGAGCCTTGGGATGCCAGTCCCGCTCATGCCTACCTGTTTTATTATTTTCTTTTTTAATTTTAAGTTATCTACCATGATATTAAATAAATAAATAAATAAAACACATTTATAAGAACTAAAACATAATTGCAATTTACCATGAGTTCAATTCATTCACCAAAAATTTAATTAATGAGACCAACACCTCTCATTAGAAATTTTAAGATTTAATACAGAAGCTAAGAAAACCACAAACAATACATAAAATTTACTCATTAACAAATTGGTTTTGGGTGGTTGACATCAAGTTTTATTGCTAAAGAAATTTCTAATTCTACTTTCAATGGATATTGAACTAAATTAAAATCATATCACTAATAATATTATAAACCATTGTATATTGGATTTTTTTTTTAAAAAAAAAAATTTAGAATAAAACAAATAGATATTTCATAAGAGCTATATATATATATATATATATATATATATATATAAGTCTATATTATATTTTCTTTATCATCTTTTACTTTTCTAAATTATAGACTTGTTCTTACAAATTGTATTGTAAGCTAAAACAACCATATCATTGACACTACTATATTATGTATTCTAATGTATTTGTAGATTGTTTAAATTAGGATTTTTTATTATTATTTTGATAATTTTATAATTCTAAAATATTATTTTTTATAATTTTTGTAATATCTATAAAGAAATAAAACTTAAGATACATACAAATATTTAACTATATTTTCTCAAAAACTTTAAATTATTTGGTTTTTATTATAATTTATAATATGTTGATTTTTTTCTTATTTGATATTTATTATTTCAAAAAATTCATCAATATAGGGCTTTGACCAAATCAATATTATTTTGATGTAAACAAAGACATCAAATTACATAAAACTCATGGAACTATATCATAGTAAAAAGTAATAAATCATCAAATAAATGCCAAATAAAAACTTGTAGCAAAATAAATATGATGACTAAAGTATAAATAAAATCAATTAATTAAGAAGCTCTATGCACTTATATTGTATATTTACAATCCTATTACAATATGTTTTTTTCATGAAAATTCTAATTTTTTTTTTTCATAATGGTAATCTTTCAATGCCAATCATAACTTCTATTATATGTTTCAAATCCTTCTATAAAATGTTATTTAATAATACTTATAATTTCTATCACAAGTTTGTGATTCTTCTTTAGTCTATTTTACTATGATACTTATAACTTCTATTATATACTTGTATCTATTCTACTATCATATGTTATTGCATAATTTCTTCTTTTTTTGCAATAAAGCTCAAAAACAAAACAAAACAAAAGCATAAAAAATTGTTATTAAAATAATACTTTTATATATAATTTGAGGTGATCTAAAGCTCCATCAACTAACCAAATTATTTAAAACTCTTTTTTATTAAAAAAAAAGTAATTTTATAAACTTTCATTTTAAAATTATGTTATAAATATGAATATAATGCACAAAAATTTATCCATCTAAACACAAGATTGTTGAATATTTATTTACAATTTACAATTGTACAATAAAACAATATTTATTTACAATTTACAATTGTACAATAAAACATTCCCATTCAATTGTTATAACAAAAAAACCATGTCTAGAATACATTCTAATTCTAAATATTTATAAAAATATTTATCAAAATAAATAAAAAAATTCTATGGCAAATAATTTCAAAAAAAAAAAAAAAAAAAAAAAAAAAAAAAAAAAAACTATCTTAAATATGTATTAATTGAACTTGTATTGTTGTTATAGAAATTCAGTGTGATTGCAAATGACATATAGAAGATTGCATAGTAAAAGGTTCATTCTAACTTTTGCTTAAATCAACTAAAGGCAAAGGGTTGTGGTGTAGGAATAGAAATGCTTCAATATCAAGAGCGATAATAATGTGATAAATGCTCCTACAAATTTTGCCATCTAAAAACAACCTTTGGATTTTGCATTGCTTAATTTTACTTATTTGATGCTACCCATGTCATTACTAAGCCAAATTGTGTTGCTTTGTTAAATTGAGAAACTTACTCATTGATTGTTACAACAACATTGATTCAACATGCTAGTGCTTTATACAATATAAGTCATTGAATTTGTATTTGACTCCATTTTGCAAGTCATGCTAAATCACAATTTGTTGACTTTGTACACTTTGTGTCCTAGACAACAACCTCATCAATGTTGTCTATAATAAAATATACTTCAAAATTCTTATGAAATAAGTTTGTTTGAAAGAACACAATTAAGCCAAAAGAACCTAGACTTTGAGGTTTTCAAAACATGCTATGACTAATACAATGTTGTACACACACTAGAGCTTGAGCATTCTCGTGTCTAGCATTGATATTTGTTATGTTATGAGAGATGGAAATGTGAGTGGAATCCATCAAGTTCTCCAAAAAAATGGAATAATTGTAAGGCGGTTCATGAATAGTAGAGAGGTAATAAAAGCCCTCCTTTTTGTAGTGCTCATATTAGGGCACCTTCTTGAGATCAATTATTGCTCTATCACCTAGCCACATCCATATCATTCCTTGTGATACCTTTATTTTATACTTTTTGGTACATATTTACTTTGGAATTTTAACTTTAGGAGCCAATTATCTCAAATAAATAAATAAATAAATAACTAATATCTAAAAAAATAAACTAAAATAAATATCAATTCTATAATATAATCTACAAAATATCTTCATGTTAATTTAAGATGTATGTATTAAAGTGCCTCATCATTAGCACCAATATGCTACTTTTAATATGCATATTAGAACATAAATGTAACTAAGTCATTGCATCTTAAACCACCAAAATATCATCATAAATTGTGATATAAATAATAATAATTTAACAATTGAATTTTTTCAAGTCTTAAGGGTATAAATTCCAAACAAATAAAAAACTTAATATATTCTTGTATCATTCAAAAAGAATAGATATTTATTCAAATTTGATATGATATTGAAACTAAAATGGCTATTGCTAAAGACAAGAAGATTAGAAAGTCTTGAAACAAGACTAAAGATTAAAAAAGCATTGACAAGAGTAAACAAGGCTTTACTCTTGCTACATGTTTAACTTACAAGACACGTGTCTTAACTTGCAAGACAAGTTTTTTGTATGTGCGCTACATAGTTAGCTTGTATCACAAGCAATCAACACATGCAACAAGTGGCTAATTTGTTGGCCAAGTTTCTAACCTAGCAATCAACTACAAACACATGTAAAATCAAAGCTACATCTATGAAGCTTCTAGGAGGCTTTTCTATAAGATATTATCAAATTTATTTATTTTAATCTATTTCTACCTATTCATATTATTAGAATAATTATTGGAATAAATACGTATGTCTCTTGTCGTGTGATAATATGACAATATGGTAAAAATATAAAAATATGGATGTTATTATAGAAGAGCCTAGTAGAAAAATATAATAGAAAAATAATAATAAATGATAGGAGGATAATAAAAACTTTAATCTTAATGTTGTTTTTTTATAGAAGATACTTTTATTTATTTTGTATGAGCATAAATGAGCCAAATCAAAAATAAATAAATAAATAATTGATATAAGTATTTTTAGGAGAGAATTAAAAATAGATTTTAGTAAAAATTACTTAAAAATATTAAGAATTGATACTTGGAGAGTATTAATTGTGAACCAGGATCAAAATCAGATCCTAAGGCACAAAATCCTATACCTATGGTGAGTTCAAGGTTTTTTAGTTAATAAGAGAGCAAGATTTGAAAAAAAACTTATAAGATGATTTTTAAGAATTAATTTCATGTAATTTGAAGATATATTGAGGTTTTGAGAGCTTTTCAAAATAAAAGATGTAATCAGTGGATTTGGATTTTAGAAAATAAAATGAAGTTTATAAATTTAAAGATTGTGTAAATATCGTAGCATATTTATGGATGAAATTTTTTTGATTTGTCATTGTGCTTGTTTTAAATGTGTGTGAAATTTTTTATATCAATCAAGTGGTTAGATTGAAGGTTGTAAAATTTTTTTGTGGATTATAATCTGAGATAATTGAAATTCAAGGTCAGTGAGGATTTTTGTGAACTTGAAACATTTGCTAGTTAAATTGAAGCAAAAATTGGTGAAAGCCATTAAGACTTGAAAATATACATACCAATAAAATTTGAAGCAATTTTATAGTTCATCAAAGAGACATTGCTATTAGAAGTTCAATATTTAAGTTGGAAAAGAAGAGCGTCTAATATTCAAGAGGATTTGAGAACTTTACTTTTAATCAATAAGTTTGATTCTTTTCAAATTTTGTGTGCTTGTTTATTATGTGTGGATTGAAATTGGAGTGAAATTTTAGTCAATATCAATAAGTCAATCAATATTTATTGAAGTTTTAAAATAATTATAATAATTGATTAATATTTAATTAAGATTTTTTTGAGGTTGTTTAAGATTTGATTAGGATTTAGAATTTAGTTAGGATTTGATAAGGATCCAATTAGGATTTTATTAGGATTTTATTAGGATTTGGTCTAAGATTTAATTAGAATTTAATTAGAATTTTATTAGGATTTTATTAGGATTTGGTCTAAAATTTAATTAAAATTTAGTTAGGATTTTGTTAGGATTTTTTTAAAGATTTTTAGAGTTTCATTAAGATCTTATTAGGACTATATTAAGATTTGGTTAGGATTTAGTTAGGATTTACTTAAGATTTATTTAGAGTTTTTATTTTTAATATATTTTTTAAGATTATTATTATTTCTTTAAGGATTTTATTTT